ATAGCCTAATAAAACCCAGAATCATCATCATCTTATATATAAAAGTACAGTTCACTTAACAAGGTGATGACACGTATCCAATCTTTTTTAAAAATTCAACGCATTGTATTTATGAATCATGTGTCTCATATTCTTTTTTTTTTTGTTAACTGTAATTTCATATATGAACTCAAACTTTACAAAGTAGTGGATAGTACAATCATTTCATCAGCTAGCACAAACAATACAGTCAGAACTCATAATAATGGATCAAATAAGGTAAACCAAGTCGTGAGAAGAGTGTCTCCTTGGATTAGTCCCATCTTCTGAGATTGTATAACGGAGATTTTACAGCGGATTAGCCTGAGAATATCTTTCCGAATGATTGTGTGGTGTTTCTGCACCCCATTATGGATCCTTGAATTTCTTTCCTGCCATAAGTAGTATACACAGGCCTGGAAAATTAAGTGCACCATGAGCTTAATGTGCTGATTACCTGGGCATTGAACCAGCCAATTGATGCTCTCCTCAAAAGAGTGGTGCCTAGGAACCGTGATACCAGAATGTTGGAGAATGTTTGGCCAAATAGTCGAAGAGTACGAGCATTGGAAGAACAAGTGGTCTATGTCCTCCACTTGCTCGTCACACAAGGAACATGTAGTAGAGACATTCAGGCCCCATGCCGCAAGCCTACGTCTGGTAGGCAGTCGGTTACGGACAGCCAACCATGTGAGGAACGAGTGCTTGGGGATGGATCGCGAGAACCATACAGTTTTGTGCCAGGGGACCGATGACGCAAGCATTTGCTGCTGATGCCAGGCCTTGGCTGTATTGAAGTTCAGGAATCGGTTCGAAGAATGCTTGTCAGACCAATAGAAGATGTCATCGTGTTCATCAGGGGGACCTTGTTGCTCCCAGGATCTCTATGTAGACAGATTCTACAACCTGACTACGAGCCGGCGGTAAATGCCATCCATCCTCGGAGAAGATGGAGGAGACATTGGCAAGCCTTGGAATACCGAGCAGGCGAGGGCCCGAGTCACCAAGGATATCAATTAGTGGCCCAGAAGGGAGCCAACTATCGAACCAGAAACTGCAGGATCTCCCGTTCCTCACTTGACAACGCAGAAATTTCCTAGATAAAGGCCTCAGCTTTAATAAACGCCTCCATGCCCAACTTCCTTTTCCCCCAATCTTGAGCAGCCAAAAAGGCTTCCCCTTAATCAAATGTGCCTTTACCCAAGCTACCCACAAGGACCCTACTTTGCTGAACAGGTTCCAAATGAGTTTCAAGCACAAAACAGTGTTCCAATCGGCGATTTTCCTGAGTCCGAGACCACCCTGAGCTTTAGGCGTGCAGACAGAGGACCAAGCCACTTTAGCTCCTTTAGCAGATTCGATGGTTCCTTTCCACAAGAAGGCCGAGCACATTTGTTCGAGATCTCTTGTACATCGACTTGGGATAATAAACGCTGATGCCCAAAAGGTAATGATACTGAAGATAACTGTTTTCAATAGCTGTAGACGGCCTGCAAAGGACAGGTGACGCGCTGTCCATGAGTTTAATCTTCCTCGAATTATGTCCCTTAGACGATCACATTCGGTTTCGTTCCACTTCCTCGGCGAGAGTGGTAGTCCCAGATAGCGAACCGGGAGAGTGGAATGAGAGATACCCAGCTGTTGTGATAGAGATTCCACCACCACTGTATCATTTCCGTCCATATTATGTAATAATATTATGTGATATATATACTTTTCAATACGTTTTTATTTTAAGATGTATATTTATATATATTGCAATACGATATTTAATAACATCATAAAAAGTTAATGTATAGGAAATATAATCCAACGCATTGCATTTATGAATTATGTGTTCCATATTCTTTTTTACCATTATAATAATATTATGCGATATATACATATACTTTTCAATACGCTTTCCTTTTAAAATGTGTCTTTATATATATTGCAATAAGATATTTAATTCCATCATAAAAAGTTAATACATAGAGAATATAATTAATTTTAATATCTTTTAAGTTACATGTATAGAAACTAATGTTGATTCTAAGTATGTATTATCTCGATATAGTTAGTTAAACGATAAAAATTATACTAATATAAATTACGTTTAAAACACTTTTGTTACTCATAATAAGTAAATATATTCATGTGCATTATGATATGAGGACGTAGATTCAACTAAATTTAATATCTTTTAAATGTATTTTATCATTTTCAGATTTTTTCATATATGATAACGAGGTTCAAATAACGTTAAATGTAAAATCATTTACACATGTATTATATTTTATTTTAAAAAGACTATATACATTGTCTTTCATCTCTATTTAATATATTAAGTTAAATCAGTCAATGTTTTGACCGAGACATTTAAAAAAAATGAGAATTTGGGTCAAGATACAGTTAACTTTTTATTTTTTGGGTTAATGTACCGTTAACTTTTTGTTACATTCAATTAACATTAGAGTTCTATAAATTCGAGTACATAGTGTGCTTTCACGACAAGTTCATGGAGAAATGGATATGCGGGCTTTGCGATCAGAGGCGGCAGTGAAGGAGGAGATAGCGAAGAAGAAGAAGAACGGCTAAACGCAGATGCGAAGAAGAAGCTTGAATCTGCCATGAACGCTCACATGGACACCTGCGTGAGGTTCAACAAGCTGGGTAGGGTTTACCGGCTCTGTTCCAAGCGGAGGCCACGAGAGAGATGTTTAGGAAAAGGGTTAAGTCCATTAGCCTTAGACAGGGCATTGCCAGAAGCTCCAACGGTATTCCCGCCATCACCAGTGACATTAAAAAACTCTCCATTGATTAGATATATATATATATATGTATATATATACCTATATATATTTAGGCTTTACGTGTAGTAATTATGTATTTATGTTTGTAGTACCTATATGCATGCATGCTAATGATTAGCTCTCTGGTTTAGGGTGAGAGATATTTCACTCGCTCTACGGGTTTTCATTTCTTCTATCCAAACTATAATCGCACTAAATGATATTCAAAGTCAATAAAATATTTTTTTTAATAAAAAGCAATAAACCATATAAACGTACCGTTTGAATTATTTACGGTGTTTTGCTACATATAACGCAATCGTATTTTCAATGTTATAATTATTATTCGTATTATCATCATATCATTTTATTGTCTTGTAAAGGAAGTCTGAAATGTTTTATCAAAATTAGAATTTTATTATGTCTATACGTAGAATTTTGAATTATTTGATTTATACACGAATGGTCTTTTGCTCTTTCTCAATACTCTGCTACTTTTTACGTTTTTAATAACAGCTTCACAATTCAATATAAAAAGAATATATTAGTGCTAAAGGAACTTTTACAAATATAAAGATATATGTGATGATTATAAGATATTTGATTGTTTAATTACCGTGAGTTAAAGAAAAAAGTTGCTTTTGTTTCCTTTTCTTCCTTTACAAGACAATAAAATGATATGATGATAATACGAATAATAATTATAACATTGAAAATACGATTGCGTTATATGTAGCAAAACACCGTAAATAATTCAAACGGTACGTTTATATGGTTTATTGCTTTTTATTAAAAAAAATATTTTATTGACTTTGAATATCATTTAGTGCGATTATAGTTTGGATAGAAGAAATGAAAACCCGTAGAGCGAGTGAAATATCTCTCACCCTAAAACAGAGAGCTAATCATTAGCATGCATGCATATAGGTACTACAAACATAAATACATAATTACTACACGTAAAGCCTAAATATATATAGGTATATATATACACATATATATATATATATCTAATCAATGCAGAGTTTTTTAATGTCACTGGTGATGGCGGGAATACCGTTGGAGCTTCTGGCAATGCCCTAAGGCTAATGGACTTAACCCTTTTCCTAAACATCTCTCTCGTGGCCTCCGCTTGGAACAGAGCCGGTAAACCCTACCCAGCTTGTTGAACCTCACGCAGGTGTCCATGTGAGCGTTCATGGCAGATTCAAGCTTCTTCTTCGCATCTGCGTTTATCCGTTCTTCTTCTTCTTCGCTATCTCCTCCTTCACTGCCGCCTCTGATCGCAAAGCCCGCATATCCATTTCTCCATGAACTTGTCGTGAAAGCACACTATGTACTCGAATTTATAGAACTCTAATGTTAATTGAATGTAACAAAAAGTTAACGGTACATTAACCCAAAAAATAAAAAGTTAACTGTATCTTGACCCAAATTCTCATTTTTTTTAAATGTCTCGGTCAAAACATTGACTGATTTAACTTAATATATTAAATAGAGATGAAAGACAATGTATATAGTCTTTTTAAAATAAAATATAATACATGTGTAAATGATTTTACATTTAACGTTATTTGAACCTCGTTATCATATATGAAAAAATCTGAAAATGATAAAATACATTTAAAAGATATTAAATTTAGTTGAATCTACGTCCTCATATCATAATGCACATGAATATATTTACTTATTATGAGTAACAAAAGTGTTTTAAACGTAATTTATATTAGTATAATTTTTATCGTTTAACTAACTATATCGAGATAATACATACTTAGAATCAACATTAGTTTCTATACATGTAACTTAAAAGACATTAAAATTAATTATATTCTCTATGTATTAACTTTTTATGATGGAATTAAATATCTTATTGCAATATATATAAAGACACATTTTAAAAGAAAAACGTATTGAAAAGTATATGTATATATCACATAATATTATTATAATGGTAAAAAAGAATATGGAACACATAATTCATAAATGCAATGCGTTGGATTATATTCCCTATACATTAACTTTTTATGATGGATTTAAATATCGTATTGCAATATATATAAAGATACATCTTAAGAGAAAAACGTATTGAAAAGTGTATATATCACATAATATTATTACAAAGGTAAAAAAATGAATATGAAACACATGGTTCATAAATGCAATGCGTTGAATTTAAAAAAAAAAAAGATTGGACACGTGTCATCACCTTGTTAAATGAACTGTACATTTATATATACTTGGCTTCGGTAGATACGCGTCTCTCATTTATGACAGCCACCTAATACTGTGGTAATGCATTAACGAAATTGATGGTGAAATTCCATGTGGATAATAAGTTTTCGGTTTACACAGGGAGTTTCGTTTCCCTGTTATTAGGGTTGGACAATCGGATCGGGTTAGTCGGGTTCGGATAAAATCGAACCGATTAATCGGATCTCGGTTCGGATCGGATTTTACAAAAATAACCGATCGGTTATCATAATCCTATAACCGATCGGATCGGTTCGGTTCGGGTAAATAACCGATCGGTTCGGGTATCCGATTAAACCGAATTTAACATTTAAGTTTAATTAATTTGGTTTAGATATAACCCTCTCGACCTCTCCTCTCTCCTCCGCCTCTGTCGAAGTTCGAAGGCTCGAAGCTCCTCTTCCTCAAGCTCGATCCGTGTCCTCCGTCGCCGGTTGTCGAAGCACTTCTGGTTTGCGTCACCGGCTACCCCTCTCTCTCTCTCTGCACCTCTGATTTGTCATCGACTCCTCTCTCTCTGCACCTCTGGTTTGTCGTCGACTGCCTCTCTCTCTTCGTCTGTGGTTCGTGTGAGCTTCGTTTCAACCTTCTTCTACCTCTGTTCGTGTGAGCTTTGCTTTCTGCTTTTCTTCTGCATCATCGGCGGCCTCTCTCGCACCTCTGGATTGCGTCGCCAGTGGGTTCTTCGTCTGAGGTGCGTTCCTTTTCTCCCGATTATGTGGCCTCTCTCTACTTCGTGATCAATTTTAGGCTATAGTCACCGGCTTACCTTTGGTTCTCTTTACTTTCTGCTTCTCTTCTGCGTAGCTTGCCCTTGTCTTCTCTCTGGTTCAGCCTTGTGCGTCGCCGGTTTGCCTTCGTCTTCAGTCCGAGGTAATTTTGTCTCCTTTGACAGCGCTTCTTCTGCGTTAATTCTTTGCTAAGTATGTAAGGTTGATGTCGTTGTTTGTTTCGTGATGTTTCTGACTCTATATTAATTGTGTATTGTGTTTTGGATTGTTAACAAATGGATAATACAAATTCGGAGATGGTTAGAATTGGAGAATCGGCCGGTAATACGAGAAAAGAACCACCGTCAGATTCAGAACTACCTCCGAAAGCAAAGAGGATAGTTCCAGCGAGGTCCCAGGTATGGCATCACTTTACCAAACTTTCCGATAACCCAAAGAAGTGCACTTGCAATTATTGCGGTGTTATGTTGACGGGCTGTTCATCAATGAGTACAAGCAGTTTAAAGAATCATATTCAGAAAACTTGCAAGGTATATAAGAATCTTTCTGAAAGTGCTTGTCAGAAAACCTTAAGTAAAGATCTGTCCATCGGAGGAGATTCTAAACTTATCACTGTTGGGTTTAGTCAAGAGGCAGTTAGAGGAGCATTGGTTAGTATGATTATTATGGATGAACAACCTTTTACATTTGTTGAAGGAGAAGGATTTAAACATTTCTGTAACGTTGGATTGCCTTCATTTGTGATTCCTTCAAGAAGAACAGTGACAAGAGAAGTTTATCAGTTATTCTTGAATCAGAAGGCTTCTTTGAAGAATTTGTTGAATGAGAACAAGCAAAGGGTGTCTTTTACTACAAATATTTGGACATCGATAACAACAATGAGTTACATGGTTATCACTGCGCATTTTATCGACAGAAGTTAGCGTTTGCATAGAAAAATTATCAGTTTCAGCCCTATATCGAACCATAAGGGAGAGACCATTGCAAGAGAATTTGTAAAATGTTTGGTGGATTGGGGTATCGATAAGGTTTTCGCCATTACCGTTGATAGTGCTAGCGCAAATAATTGTGCTTTGAGGCTTTTAAACAACAAGTTGAATACTTGGTGTGAAGATACTCTTGTGTTGAAAGGATAGTTTATGCATTTGCGTTGTGGAGCACATGTTTTGAATTTGATTGTTAAAGAAGGGTTATCAGACATAGGTGATAGTGTGGCGAGCATTCGCAATGCTGTTAAGTATGTAAGGTCGTCCGATTCAAGGTTGCAAGCATTTAAAAGTCGAGTTGGAAGTGATAACTTTAACAGAGGAAGTTTGGTTTTGGATTGTGCGACACGTTGGAATTCGACATTTCTGATGTTATCTTCCGCTTTGAAGTATAAAGAAATATTTAATCGAATGAAAATGGAAGACAAGCTTTATGAGGATTATTTTGCTGAAGATGATGATTCTAGAACCGGCAAGAAAAGGATTGGTCCTCCTTCAGAAAATGATTGGGAAAATGCTCATCGATTGGTACGATTCTTGAAGATTTTTTATGAATCGACTTTAGCATTTTCTGCTACTACAAAGGTAACTTCTACTTGCTATTACAACGAGATTATAAAGATTGAAACGGTTCTTTTATCCTTGGCAAACAATCCCGATCACGAAATGAGCAAGATGGCAAAGATAATGAGGTTCAAGTTCGATAAGTATTGGGAAGGCACCGAAAGGATCAACAAGTTATTGATTGTTGCATCTGTATTTGATCCAAGGAGTAAGATGAGTTTTGTAACTCATTGTTTTGACAAGATGTATGGTAAGGATAGTGCCAAAAGCGTCGACATGAAGAAGAGCATCACTGATGTGTTGCATAGGTTGTTTGTCTCCTATTATGAGTGGTACAAATACAAAACACCAAGTGGAGAAAGATGTGAAAGTAGAAAATCATCCGTTGAGATGTCTGAATCGTCAAGTAATATGAATGGTGTTGATATCGATATGGGTTTCATATATGAGGATGACCCTTTTGCTTCGTTTGCTCAAATGATAGTAGATAAAGGGGTGGTTGAGGAATCACCGAATGAGTTAGATATTTATTTGATGGAAAAGGTCGAGGTGATGAAACCTAACAGCTTGGGTTGCGAATTTGATATTTTATCATGGTGGAAGACGACCAATGGTAAATTTCCAATCTTGGCAGAAATGGCGAGAGATTTATTAGCAATTCCAGTCTCTACTGTTTCATCTGAGTCCGCGTTTAGCACAGGAGGTCGCATTCTAGATCAATATCGAAGTTGTTTAACTCCTGACATGGTTGAATCATTGATCCTAACACAAAATTGGTTGATGTCTCATCTTATTTCTGACGAAAAACGTAACTTCAGTGAGTTGATCGCGGAAAATGAATTTATGTTTGCATTGGCTGAAGGTAATTACTATCTTTATATTGTTTTATAAAATATCTAAAATACAACTTGTATTTTCTTGATTTGTTTAATCTCTTTGTTTGCATAGAATTTCGGAAATCATCGGGACAAAGTGATTTGTGTGTTGTCTAGAAAGATGAAGATAAATTATGGTAAATCTTTATCTTGATTATATTTTTACATTATATTCAATCATTTGTTTCACTTATTTTGTCATTGTTTTATTCTTTTTAAGGTTTGTCATATGGAGATTTGGTTGGAGAAGATTAGTTTGAAGAAGATTTTGGATTTGAAACGAGTTGTTTGAACAATATTTTGGATTTGTTTTTGTATGAGATGAAACTATTATGTTGTTTTTGTTATTTTTTTTATCGAATATTTGTTTGGATAAACCCGAACCGAACCCGAAAAAACCCGAACCGAATCCGAACCGAACCGATTAAGATTATATACCCGAATGGATATGAATTTTTCAAACCCGAACAACCCGAACCCGAAATAACCCAATCCGAATAACCCGATCCGACCCGATCGCCCACCCCTACCTGTTATAACCACATAGTCGGTTTAACTTAATCGGATCAAACCAAGCTATACCAAACATTTAAGCGGGTTTGATTCGGTTCGGATCTGGTATATGGAACGAACCGGATTGGATCATCTCAAGGGCCAATCCAAGAGGTTGAGCTAAACCTCGATAAACCATTTCTGAATGTGAATGAATACTTTTTTCAGCGTGTTTTTATATCTCAAATTGTTATATTTAAAAGGAAATAATTTAAATCCGAACCAAAAAAAGGGGGGAGAAGAAGAACCATCGGGTGTGATCTGATACGTTTCTATTTTCCTTGAAAATTTCTAGGAACCGAACAGACAAGACAGCTGCATTTTCCCAGGAAAAAATTCGCACAAGCATCGGAAAATCTAAAACGGAAAGGTAATGGGATCGAAAACTCACCGCGATTGTCAATCTCTAATCGAAAACGATGCCTTCGTCTTCTTCTTCTTCTATCTGTGTCTGTCTGGATATGGAAGATTTCCTGAGGAAAATAAAAGAAAATTTCCCGAGACGACGAAGGACAAAATCTTGGTTCGTGTGTGTATATATACAGAGGTATCTGTCTAAGCGGCCAAATAGCCCTTTGCCCCCGCGTGACGGGATTTCAATTTTCTCTCTTTCTCTCTTTCTTTTTTGAAAAAACAAATTTCTAATATAATAAAATATTGTATAGAGATTATAGATTATTTTCCAACGTCTCGTATTTTATAAAGTATTGAAGAGTTCCACGAGTCCCCATCATAGCTCCTCTACTTTAATTTGACTTTGTAACATACATACATACATACATACATACATACATACATAAATCTATTACATATACACAATTTTTTCTTGATTGCTCCCACCTAAACATGTTTCAAATAATAATAATAATAATAATAATAATAATAATAATAATAATAATAAGGGTAAAACCCTTAAAAAACCCCCAACTTACAAAAATATATACAAATAAACCTTGAACTTGAAAAAAATATCATTCAATCCCCGAACTTGTAACTTGTCACTGAATAAAACCTCGAACTTGCAAATTATTGTTCTAATAAATCTTTAACCGGTTTGACCACAATTTCAGGCGATCGAAAATCTACGTATTGACGGATTGCTGATGTCATTTTTTAAACTAAAATTGATAAAATGTATAAGGTGACATCAACAATCCGTTCATACGTGGATTTCCGATCGTCTGAAATTTTGGTCAAACCGGTCAAAGGTTTATTAGAGCAATAATTTGCAAGTTCGAGGTTTTATTCAGTGATAAGTTACAAGTTCGGGGATTGAATGATATTTTTTCAAGTTCAAGGTTTATTTGTATATATTTTTGCAAGTTGGAGGTTTTTTAGGGGTTTTACCCTAATAATAATAATAATAATAATAATAATAATAATAATAATAATAATAATAATAATAATAATAATAATAATAATAATAATAATAATAATAATAATAATAATAATAATTATAATAATTAAATTTAGAGAAAATCGTCTAAATAACTCTATACTTTTTTCAAATAAACGAGTAAACTGTATATTTTTTATCAAATAAATCCATTAGTCCATGTCATAATGTTTTTTTTTTTGGTATGATAGTCCATGTCATAATGTTGCTAACGGTGAAAATGAAAAAACTGATCCTGTTCAATCGGAAAAGTTGATTATCGGAAGAGAATATTGATATTATATCGAATTTGGTTATGTATTATTTGGTTGGAATGAATTCGATTATAATTTTATTAATCGAATTAATATAGTTATTTAATTAAGATTTATATTCATATTAGATTAAATGGACTAATGGATTTACTCATTTAACTCATAACTTTAACGGATTAAACATATAAAACTTATTTAATTAATATAACCTAATTATATAACCCAAATAAAATTATTATTGGGTTGGAGTAGCCCATTTAACCCAATATATTTGACAATGTTGTTATTCATCATTATGTGTCTTTTGATTGGTGGTTAATGTTATATGGATATAATTTTTTAAAAATTTTAAACTGATAAAATTTTAATATATTTTACATGGAAATAAGTTAATGTTATATGGATATGATTTTTAAAAATAATTTGATTAAACAAATTTGAATATAAAAATAAAAATCAATTCTTTTTTAATTAATATAATTTGATCGATTCAAATATAACCAAAATAATATTTGATATAAAAATCAATAACATATATTTTTAAAATTTTGAATGAAAAATCAAATAACAAGAAACGAATCGAAATTAACCACCAAATTATATGGACAAAGTTATATATAAAAATTTTATTCATTAACTGGATCGGATCCATGTCAAAAATCTCACCTTTTTTGATATACGGTCTTCAAATCATATCATTAATCAAGGGATCCATTTGCATTTCATTTTTTTTCAATTTTATTTTGTTTATTGTTCCACCCGTCTATTCATTTAGATTTTTTTTTTTTATCATATTTAATCTCTATATAATACTTTCATCTGCTATTTTAATACTTCTATTAATATCTTTCACAACATTTTACATATTTATATTTATCTTTTTTTTTTTAACTGAGTTTGATTCTTATTTAAAATTTTTAAAGGAAAAACGTTACAAGTATATGTCTGTTAAAATTAATATTTAAAAGTTTTAAATATATACTCTTAGTCTTAGACTATGTTCAATAAATTGAAAGATATTTCATAACAATACAAAGATTTCTGTCTAGTTCGATAACTTTGGAGACATCTCAATGCTAAATCCAGCCTTAATATCGGGGGATGACTTCCACCTTTAGCATTGAGCACTCTGACATACCAGTTCGATATCTTGGTAACCCTCTCTCCTCTAAAAAATCAGGAGTAGAATGGAGTCCTGGACTGCGGGAAGACTCAAACTCGTGAGCTCAATCATCTCTGGCATCATTATCATTGGTTATTGGTGGTGCAAGGCGTTCGTCATATCCAAGAGGACTATCAAGCAGCTCAATTCCCTATGCCATGCTTTCTTGTGGAAAGAGAAAGGAGAACCATCCCGAGGAGTTAGAGTGGCATGAAAAATGGTCACACGAGGCCAAAAAGGGAGGGTGGTCTATTATGGCACAAGCACCATGTACCTGATGGAATCGAATGATCCCGAAATTTTAATAAACCCCGGATCCGATACTATGTGATTGCATATCGGGATTGAAATAAACTAGATCAAAGATTCAGAAACCGAACCTGAAGTCATGATCGGAAGCGTAAACGGTTACGAGCTTCTGATTCTTCGTGTACCTTAGCCTCTTAATTCTTTGATGGGATAAGAATCAAGAACATGTAGAGAATTCTTAAGATTGGTTTGTCAAAACACCATGGTGTAGAGAATGAAGATTTGTGCATTATTTATAGCCAAAGGAGAATGAAGAATGCATGAACATGCATTGACCAAGAACCGAAGATTCTTTCTTCTTCTCCATTAATCAATCAATTAAATAATTATTTAATTGATCAAGACTAATGCACATTCAAAGAATCTTCTATTTACATGAACCAAAACCAAACCAAACTCTACATTAATCGGTACACGTGAACCAGGGACCATAACCAAAATCCTTATTCGGTATTATCCAATTTAGCCCATCATAAAATTAGATAATAACCGACCGGTATCTACGCATATATTAAAACATATACTCGATTCAATACCGAAGTCCAATAGGTTAAAACGAAAAACCCGATCACATTTAATTGGACTTAACCGACATGACAAACCTTATTCCATAATAATCATATCCGGTCCACAATAAAAGTATAAAAAACCTTACAATACTCCCACTTGGACCGTATATGAACCGAAATTATAGAATAACCGAATGAGCGCTCTTTATGTTTTGTCACGATACCGGTATTGACCCAATCTCGTCCATCAAATGTACCAATGCAGAACCAAAGGAGTATAACCGCTTTTAAGACGCAGCTAGACCCACATCTGATCACGTACATTACATACAAAAGAATGACATAGATCTGAGCATAGACGCGTAGCATAGAGATTCCACGCAAAGTGATCGATACGTGTCAATCTTTAACTGGTCCTCTTAATCGAGATCAACTTAAAACTGAAACTGAATGATACAAAGTGATACTTTATTGGAACTGAATACTTACAGAACAATAGCAACAACGATAGATACCAAGCTCCCACTAAATCACTACATCCTTATCCGCAATAACACCCATGCGGGTAGTGTGCTCAAGAAAAACCTTAGGCGGTAAGCCCTTGGTTAGCGGATCCGCAATCATGGAACTTGTACCTATGTGTTCTATCGAAACAGTCCCACTTTGTATCCTTTCTCTAACAACAAGGTACTTAATGCCGATGTGCTTCGACTTCGTACTACTCTTGTTATTGTTAGAGTACAGCACTGCGGAACGATTGTCACAGTATAACTTAAGTGGTCTTTCAACACCACACATAAATCGCAGCCTTGTGACAAAGTTCTGTAACCAAAGTGCTTGATTGGATGCCTCATAGCATGCTACATATTCCACCTCCATCGTTGAAGATGCCACGAGCTTCTGCTTGGCACTACGCCAAGAGACAGCTCCACCGGCAAGGAGGAATATATAGCCTGAAGTGGATCGAAGGCTATCGACACATCCAGCAAAATCTGAATCCGAATAACCAGTGATCTCGAGCTGGTCAGAGCGTCTGTACACGAGCATATAATCCTTGGTTTTCTGCAGATACCTCATAACCCGTTTGGTTGCTTTCCAATGATCCATTCCCGGGTTGCTCAAGTATCTATCCAACATG